CGGCCAGCGCTGGGACCAGGGTGCCCTGCGGAGGAGCGATCGGGGCACGCGCGCGCACACACACACACACATACATATACATACATATACACATACACACACACACACACACAGTACACACACCCGTACACACACATGCACACACATGCACACACACACACATATACACACACACGGTACACACACCCGTACACACATACATACACACATGCACACACACACACACACACATACACACACGCATATACACATACACACACATATACACACATACACACATACACACACATATACACACACACATACACACAGTACACACACACATGCACACACACGCACACACACATACACACATACACACATACACACATATACACACACAGTACACACATACATACACACATGCACACACACACACACACATACACACACCCGTACACACATACACATACATGCACACACGTACACGTATACACACACACATACACACACCTGTACACACATACATACACACACACACACATGGTGCTGTGTGGGGACTGGGCTGTATCAGCCAACCAGTCGGATGCAGGACCCCTCACAGGGGTGACTTTGTATCCCAGGTGCTGCAGCCGTTACTTTGTAGCCGCGGCTCCTCTCCCTCCCAGGAAGATCAGGACCAACAGGAGGTGCTGGGCACAGGCAAGGGGGCAGGAGCAAGGGCACGGGAGGGGCTTCTCCCCCTCCCACAGGGGCCAGGCCTCTGATCTCCATCCAACAAACAAACCAAGCTCTGAGAAAGCAGCCAGAACAGTGCACGTTTGTTACACACCAGAGGTCACTGTCCTCATACACAGGGAAGACTGGAAATCGGGGGCCTCTGAGCACTGGCCAAAGCACACATGGGGCCAGCCCAGAGTCCACAGGGTCTGCCTAGGCCTGGGCAGGCTCTGGGGACTGTGATGCGGAAGGCCCAGGGGGGGCAAGGTCCCTGGGGGCCAGGCTTGTGCGACGGATGCCGTCCTGATACTTGTGGCGGCCAAGCTCCAAGATGGCCTGCACCTCTTCGGCCACATCCCGCCGGTCACTCTGCTCCAGGGCCTGTACTAGGAGCCCCACAGCCCCCGGCTGTCCAGCCTGGCGCTCAGCCCAAGAGAATAGCATGTGACGGATCTGCCCGTCCAGGTCATCCCTGGGGACAAAGAGGCTCAGTGACTGATGGGTCCAGCCAGGACCACCCGCCACACCCAGGGGCCAGCTCACCCTCCCAAGGTGGGTTTTCTGCTCCCTGGGCCAGGTGTGGCCACACCATCCCTTTCCTGCCTGTTTGCCCTGCCGCACCTGCCCTGGAGGGAACTTCAGCCAGCCTTAGTGGGGCCCTCCAGGCAGCAGGGGCCCAGGCCTGAGGCTGGCTCAAAGCGGCAGCCAGAGGCCCAAAGGAACGCACCGGAACTCGTGCCGGATGCGCTGCAGCTCCTGGTAGGACAGACCCAGGTGCAGGGCCACAGCTGGCCAGTCAGGGCCCAGGCGCCCGGCCAGATTCAGCAGGTTGCTCTGGGTCAGGAAACCGGTCTCAGCATCACCCAGGTTCAGAGGTGCCAGGGAAAGGCCAGCACCCTGCCCCGGGCGCAGCCCCTCAGGCCTCCGCAGTCTCTGCGGGGAGAAGTGGGTGCAGTGAGCCCCAGTCTCTGCGCCCAGGCTCCACCCCTGCCCCTTCACCCTCCCATCCCCCCACCCCAGGCCACACCGGCAGCTTGATGGGCAGAGTGGCCATCCACAGGGTGTCCTTGCCCTTCCTCTGCCTGGCAGCCTCTGCCTCCTCGGGCACCTCCTCAGGCACGGCTCCCCGATAAAAGGACACCTGGGGCAGGATGAGACAGGGTTCAACGCCCGGGCCTTGGCCCAGGCAGCCTGGGGGCCCTGCCCCGTGGGCCCACCTGGCCCCTCACGGCCTGAGCCTGCCGGTCCAGCGTGGTGGTCACGTACAGCTCCTTCACGTTCTTCAGGCGCGAGTAGAACACGAAGCACACTCGGCCCTGCACGCAGTCCGGGCGGTCTGGGGGTGGGGGGGGGCTCAGCAGGGAGTCTGGGGCCAGACCCCAGGGCCCACCTCTGGGGGCAAGGGGCATACCAGCATCCACGTCGATGCCTCTCTCAAAGGCAGCAAAGAATTTCTCGCCTTCGAACATCTCCACCGTGTCTGAGGGCTC